GGCTGAAACTCCTTCTGATGTGTCAGCCAGGTTATGCAGAGAGGTCTTGGAAAGCTTCATCTTTTCCCAAACAATCCATGACTGAGCTGATTATAGAATCATTTAGGTTGCAAAAGCCCTCCTGAGATCATGTAGTCCAACCATTCCCTCAGCACTGCCAAGGCCACCACTGGCCCATATCCCCAAGTGCCACATCCATGTGGCTGTTAAATCCCTCCAGGGATGGGGACTCCACCACTGTCCTGGGCAGCCTGTGCCAGGGCTGAATAACCTTTTGGGGAAGAAATTTTCCCTAATATCCAACCTAAATGTCCCCTGACACAACTTGAGGTCATTTCCCCTTGTTCTGTCACACGGAAGAAAAGCCCAAACCCCACCTGACTCCACCCTCCTGGGGAGAGTGAGAAGATCTTTTCAAACCCAGTTCTACACTTCCATGATCATCTCTGCAACCACAAGCTGAGGTTTCTCCTCACTCACAGATGTGCAAACACAGCCAGTGTTGCAAGAGATGAAAGGTCCCACGGCACTGTGTCAGCTCAGCCCCCGAATCAGCCCCATCTTCACAGCTCGGGGTGGAAATGGGGTGATCCCTGCCGAGGCAAACGGACGTAGGGAGCAGGAGCAGGGCAAGGAAGGCGATGCCACCCATGGCGAAGTGTTGGCTTCTGATCTGTGGCTGCTGATCCAATTAAAAGGGTTAATCCCCAGAGACACCCCCTCGGGGAAGGTGGCCTCTGAGAGGTCCCCTGTGGGGAGGTGTGGTCATTAGGGCAGGCTCCTGGTCATTAGCTGCTGTGAGCAGAGGGTGGTCACCAACCCACGTGGCCTTTGTGTGTGCTCCCAGAGCTCCTCTGGGATGGTTCTTTACAGTCCTAGGAGAAACACAGGGCTTTGATACTGGTTAGCATTCAGGGTAAGCCAAGGTGAAGCTCTTCTCTCTTCCATGCCACTTAAGGAAGGGAAAGCCAAAGCACCCAAAAAGTTATGTCTGGGAAAGTATGGATGTGGATAGACAGCTGGCTGGTTGGATAATAATGGACAGGGATGATAAATGGGGACCCATGGTTGCACTTCTGTTGTCTGAAGGGAAAGCTCAGCCCACCCCTCACATCCCTGTTGGATCAGGGGTCACTTTTACTCTGCTCAGGTGAGACCCCACCTGCAGTGCTGCCTCCAGCTGTGGGAGTCCCAACATCAGAAGGATGTGGAGTTGCTGGAGCGAGTCCAGAGGAGGCCATGGAGATGGTCTGAGGGGCTGGAGCCCCTCTGCTCTGGAGACAGGCTGGGAGAGCTGGGGGTATTCAGCCCACAGAAGAGAAGGCTCCAAGGGAGAACTTTAAGCCTCTTCCAGTGCCTAAAGGGGCTCCAAGAGAGCTGGAGAGGGACTTTGGACATGGGCCTGGAGTGACAGGACAAGGGGGAATGGCTTCCCACTGCCAGAGGGCAGGGTTAGATGGGATATTGGGAGGAAATTCTTCCCTGTGAGGGTGGTGAGGCCCTGGCACATGTTGCCCAGAGAAGTTGTGGCTCCCCCACCACTGGAAGTGTTCAAGGCCAGATTGGATAGGGCTTGGAGCAACGTGGTCTAGTGGAAGGTATCCCTGCTCATGGCAGGGAATGGGATTGGATGAGCTTTAAGGTCCCTTCCAACCCAAATCTATTTGTGATTCTCTCATTCATAATTAGGGTTAGGGTTAGGATTAGGATTAGGGTTAGAGTTAGGGCTATGGTTAGGGTTAAGAGCCCTTCCTGCCTCATTGCAGAGAGCAGAGGGGAGACTTTTGTGTCTCCTTTTGGAGACCAGATGTCCTGTGCCCCCATGGCTGCGTCCCTCAGACAGAAGGCATCAGTGTTGCTCCATGACCAGTGCAAGGCTTATTCCTGCAACCAAACCATCAAAAGCAATGTCATCCCAGTTTTGTCTGCTAGGAGCCAGCAGCGAGATATGGAGCTTGGAGCTCATGCCTTTGGTCTTTGCTGACGGAGCAAGTGAACAGCAAGGGAACTGCAGCCAAGGCAAAAACGTTTTACTGTTCCATATAAAATTTATGGGGTGCCTTTTATGACAGTGTTCCAAAGCAGGGCTGCAGTAAAGGGGTAACTGAGAGGCAGCAAAAAGCCTGACTCCCACCAACAAAGAGCTGGCAGGGGCGTGATGCCTGATGGCGGGGGAGAAGCTGATACCACAAAAGATGAGATGATGTTTGGAGGCAGCCAGGGAAAGTGGATGTGATGGGTCTGGGCAATAAAGAAAGTTATGGGAGGATGGAACAGCCACATCACTCAAACAGCATCTTTGGAGACTTCCACATCTCCTGTTCATGATGGGAGCACTGAACACCAACTCAGCACCAAACCCTGTTTGCTGGGACCACTTTCAGTGCAAGGACAACAGCAGAAGAAGGAGCAGAGCCACTCCAGCGCACCTCAGAGCATCTGCACCAGGACAGTGACATGCAGGTTTCCCAGGGAGGGACCAGGCAGCAGCTTCATCTCTTGGTGGGATGCTCCCTAGGATAAGACTGCTTTTCCATCTCCATCTTGTGTCCCCATGAACCTCTATCTTGTACATCACTGTTAATCCCCAAACCTCCCTGCCCAAGGCAGAGCTCAGCCAGGGCTCCAGGCAAGGCAGCACTGGGGTGATGCAGCTCTGTGGTCACTTCAGACAAGTGGTGCTTTTGGGAAGAAATACAAAGCACCATGCAGCAGGTAGGGATTACTCGGTGAGGGATAGCAGGGACCACATTCACAGAATTATGGAATTACAGAGCTATTAAGGTTGAAAAAGCCCTCTAAGACCATCAAGTCCAATCCTTCTCCCAGCACTGCCAAGGCCACCACTGACCCATGTCCCCAAGTGCCACATCCACATGTCTGTTAAATCCCTCCGGGACAGTGGAGACTCCACCACTGCCCTGGGCAGCCTGTGCCAGGGCTGGACAACCTTTTGAGGAAGAAATTTTTCCTAATATCCAACCCAAGCCTCCTCTGGTGTAACTTGAGGCCATTTCCTCCTGTCCTATCACTTGTTACTTGGGAGAAATGACCAACTCCATGAGAAATTACCAGCTTCCTCTGTTGTTGCTCTCCAAAGGGTTTCTTCTGGTCATGGAATATCTGGAAGCATCCACCATCCTCCTGGACATGGTAGAGGAGCTCTGTGTGCATGGAACTCAGCTGAGTTGCACCCAAGAGGTCTGTCTGTGTCTGAGCTCAGTACAGCCTTTATGGGCCCAGTACAACCTAGATGAGCCCAGTACAACATAGATGGGCTCAGTACAACCTTTATGAGCTCAGTAGAACTTACATGGACTCATTAAACCTGTATGGGCTCAGTGCAATCTACATGGGCTCAGTACAACCTATTTGGGCTCAGTACAACATATATGGTCTCAGAATAACCTTTGTCTGCTCAGTACAACCTATATAGGTTCCATATAACCTATATGGGCTCAGTAGAACTTATATGGGCCCAGTACAACCTATATGGGCTCAGTAACCCAGAGATACCTGCAGGAAACCTCATATGGATGAGAATTCTTGCTGACTTTCTCCCAGCCTTCCCCATGAACCCAACAGAGCAGCTTTTTTTGAAACTCCTGCTGCTTCTGGTAAATGAGCACAAATTGCACCTCTGCTCAGCTCCAATTAGATCAGCAAGGGTGAGTTAATTAGGCTGAGGAGCAAGGGCTCAGGCTCTGCCCAGGGCTGGCAGCATCCTCCCTGCAGCTACAGCCATGGAGGCGAGGGGGTGGCTTTGCCCCTCTCCCTTCATCTCATGCCATGGGAAACACCCCTAACACCCAAAGCATCAGTGGGATTTTTTCATGGACAAGCTGAACCAGCTCAGCCCCAAGATCATTGCCCGGCTCTGGCGAGTGCTGCCAGCTCAGTGCCTGCTGGCTACTCCAGTTGTCCCTGGTTGCTCCTTGCTGTGGGTCCTCTTTCATTCCTCCAAGTTTTGGCACCTGTTTCCGTCCACTTTGTATCTACCAACTCTGTTTTTTTGGAGCATAACGAAGAGAGAAGGGGAAAGCATGGGATGGGAGTTGCTCACGTTGATCCTTTCATAGTCCCATGTGAGTGGTTGCCTGTCCAAGACAGAGCTCCTGCACTCAGCAGCTTGCCTGGGCTCCTGGCCAGCATTCCAGAACTTCTCATTTCCTGGTCTGGGCTTATGACCTATCCCCCCATGCCCACCACCAGCCCCAAGCTGTTTTCAGCCCAAAACCATGTGCAGACCACAAGGAAATGGGAAAGGATGATCCCCTGCTGATGAGCAAAGCATCCATGGGATCCGGTATCCCTACTCTGAGAGGTCAAGTTGGTCAGATCCCACCAGGATGGGGCCCCTTCCAGAGATGTAATACAGACCTTAGAGGGAAAGGAAAACCAGCACAGGAAGCTGAATCAAGAAGATGCTTTAATCAGATTTATCAGACAGATTTGGATCTCCAAATAAATAGATTTATCAAAACAGAATAAAACAAGAATCCAAGGATAAATACACGTACCAAAACCAACTTGAAAATCCCCCAAAGTTGTTTCCAGACAGGGGGAAGGTGATGCTGCTGCACACCCTCCTCCCCACGCTGCAGAAATGGTCCTGTTGACTCTCTGGGAGATGTGCCTCCAGTGAATACAGCCCAGTAGATATTATGTAGGATATATATAAATATATAGCATAATAACCTGCTTAGTAGCAACCTTAGTGCAGTGTTCAGGGTCCCAGACCCTGTCAGCAGGTGGGTCCTCCCAAAAACTACATCTTCACAAGATCTGCAAAGAAGGGAAAAGGATCCTCCCAGCTGGAACAGAGGAGGAAAGACAGAAGACTTTTCACAAAACACCCTTTGGAGGGTTTTCAGCCAAAGAAACCCTTTACAGATCACAGGGGCTCCAGGAAAAGAAATAAGAATGATTTTTCTTTCCTTGCAGGTCATCTTTGCATCGGTGATTGGAAAGATGCTCGGTCAAGCTTTGCTCCTGGTGCTCTTTGAGAATGCTGGGGTGTCAGGGATGTATCCCACCTCTTCATGTCACACCAGGTCTCACACCTCTGCCAGTTCGCCCTCTTCCCTCTGCATATCCGAGGATAGCAGAAGATGGAGAGAGAGCGGAGAGAGGCACCTCCATGGCTGCGGCTTTCACACGGATCAACTGGGATCTGAAGTTTCTGGAACTTACACTAGTGTATCCTTTATTGAAGTGCCAGTCTATTTAATAATGCAGCTCTGGTTCTCATATATATGTGTATGTGTGGGGGTGTAGATAAATCAAAAGCGAGGGTAAAGTTTTTTAGCTTTACAAGTTCTTTGTTTCCTTCTCTGGGCTCTCTGTCATCCTCAGCTCTGACGTCTGGGCTCGGAAGATGTTCCAGTGACCTGGATGAGCAGAGAGGGACACACATTAGCAACAACCTTGGAGCAGGAAAGGACAATTTCCCCCATGTGTAGCACCCTCTCTGCTGGAGGATCCACAAGGACCATGCTGGGAGAGAGGTTGGGATAGAGATCTACCCACACCAGCCATGGCCAGAGCAGCTCATCAGTGATTCATCATCCAGCTCTAGACTTTGTCACCTTGAAGTTAAAATGGTATTTGTGGTCAAGAAGGGCCTTCTTACCCAGTGCAATGCAATTAATGGCACAATCAATTGCACTTCCAATGCTTTTCCTGGTAAACCCTCACATGGTCTTATAAGAAAAGGAGCTCAGATCGAAACAGGGATAAATCCCTCTCTCTACCTCCTTTGCTTTGATATGATCTAGGGCCATGTCCTGCCTGACCCATCTGCGATTTGGGATGACTCCCTGCCTCTCAGGGGGAAGAAGCATTTTGCTTGTCCTCTGTCTCACCCTCAGAAAGCCAAAATTTCAGTTTCATAGCAGTGGGCAGGTAGGTTTCTCTCCTCCCTTCTGTCAGCCCCATTTCTTTGGGGCTACACTTGTATTCATTTTCCTGCTGCTGCATCAGCCCTGGCTCTTCTACCTATGGCACAGGAAAATCCTGCTGTAGAAGGAGAAGGAACCCCCTTCAATCCCCCACAGCCTCACCAGCGAGCTGCAGATTCTCAACAGGATTATTTGCCAGGGGAAACTGAGGCAAGAAGAAGCCAGCACATTACTCCATGAGAGTGGGAAACACAATCTGGGAGCAGGAACTGGAAAATTCCCCAGGGTTTGCTCAAGAGATGTTGTCCCAAGGGGACTGGGGGTGAAAATCAATCTCCAGCCTCCCTGGCACACTGGGTGCACTGGGCAACAGAGCTGTTCCAGACTGACCCAGTGACCTGTGGGTGCTGGACAATATGGGAATGGCTCTGATCCCAGCCTATCCCACTAAACACCAACACAGCCCAGGAGGAGAGGCAGTCAGCAGGAAATAGCATGGCAGTTTCACTCCGTACAGGCGCTCCCGGCATGTGCACTGGCATTCCTGCTTTTCGCAACATTTACGCACATCCAAGAACACTCAGAGTGATTTTTAAAAACACTTCAACAGTTTATTTTCTTTCTAATCCCTTGCATCATTTATTTTTTTTCTCCCTCATCCCCCCACCCTTTAAGACCAGATGGATTAGATATAAAAATCAAACAGTTTTATGGGCTTTGGAGAGACAAATCCTTTGGATTTCACAAGGGTGCATCCACTTTTAGAAAGCTGGCTGCCCTTTCCAATACCATAAAGTGGCTGTTAACCAGGAGTGTTGCATATGGGTGTGAAAACAGGTCAGTTCCAACCCTGCTAAGCTTGCACAAGCCTTTTCCCTATGGTTCAGCTCCCCATGCCGTGTCGGGATTTATGCAGTCTTTTTGGAATGGCCAGAGCAGAGCAGGAAAATAGAGGGTTGTTTGGGGCAGGATGTGCTGGAGAAGTGAGGAAAAGGGATTTTTCTTTCCCTACCTTCGTTTGTCCTGGTGATCAGCCTGAAGTTTTGTGCTTCTTGCTTGAATTCTTGTTTGCTGATCTTCTTGGTTTGGATCAGATGGAATATTCCTGCAGAGGGGAACGCAAGGCATCAGATTCTTGATCTAAGGCTCACACAGGTTTGGATGTTCTGTCCCCTCCTGAGATGCAAAGGGGAAACTGCCTGCCCTGGATGCCCTGGGGTCCTGGTTCAGTGCAGGACCTGCTGACAAAGCCTAGTGGGAGTTTGGGAATGAAACCAAGGCTGGCCAAGGTCAGGAGAGATCTCATTTGAATATTAGATTGAATATTAGGAAGCAATTCTTCCTTGTGAGGATGGTGAGGCCCTGGCACAGGTTGCCAAGAGAAGCTGCCCCATCCCTGGAAGTGTTCAAGGCCAGGCTGGATGGGGCTCGGAGCAACCTAGTGGAAGGTGTCACTGCCCATGGAAGGGAGGTGGAACTGGATGGGCTTTAAGTCCCTTCCAACCCAAACCATTCCATGATCCTATGGTTCAATGCAAACAGTACTGGTCACTAAATCAGGACACAGCAGGGACACCATGAAGCAGGTGAAAACAGTAAGATTTTGTTGCTCCAGAAAACATCTCATGCTGGAGAGGTTCTGATCTTCCCCAAAAACCATAAAAGAAATAAAGGTGAGACCAAGAAGATGCTGAGATCCCTGTCCCCTCTGCTCTCTCTCGACCACCTATCTCCCCTGACTGCTGAGACCCCTCCATCCTAGGATGTTTTCCTTTCCTGGAAGCAGCCAGGGACCAAAGTTTTCCATCTCTCAGTCACCAGCCCTGAAATTCCTCCAGGACAGGAAAAAAACACGAGTGACCTCAGCAGAGATTGATATTTCTGGCTGTGCCAGCATCATCCCATTAGTAGAGGTGCCTGACTCAGGCGTTTGACCCAAGCAAACCAGAACCTGCATTTAGCAATGGAAGTGACCTTTCTGTGGGATTAGGGGTTACGATATTCCGAAGCATGACAAACCAGGTAGGTATGCCGGGCATATCCTTCCCCACCTCTCACCCAGGCTCCCAGAACATCCAGCCTCTTGCTGCCAGCAGATGTGAGAGGCAATGTGGTCCCCCTTATTTGGTTAAGACACTTTCCCTGATTCCCAGCAGCAATTACACATAAAAAGAGTACGTCATGAAAGAGAACCAGCTTGCAATCCATCTAAATGAGATGTTATGGACTGTGGAAAATTAATACAGGAAGTCAAAGACATACAGAGAAATATGTGGATATTTGGACTATTAATAAGTCCTTTCAGTGGGTTGGGAAAAGAAGTCCTACCAGTAACAAAAGAAGATACTGGATGGAGGTAATATAACTGTTAAAGACACAAGAAAGGCACAAGTGTTCAATAAATCCTTCTGGTCTATACTTAGAAAGGGGCAGGAGGCCATGCTTGCAGTCCCCATGGCTGATGAAGCACTTTCCAGCACATTAGTAATGAAGAGGATATTTAAACAAGAGCTAGGAGAGATAAACAATTTTAATCAACGGACCCAGATAATGCTCCCCCAAGAGCTCTCTCAGAGCTGGCTGAGACCTTTGCCTGCCCTGGGATGACCGTTCCTGACAGATGCCAGGAGGTGGGGAGCAGTGTAGGAATGCAGAGGATGCTCCAGCAGGCACAGGGAGAGCACAGGGCAGTGCAGATAAGAACAGTCCACCCACCAGAGAGACAGGAGGGGATGGAGCTGCGAAAGAGCAGTGCCACTTCCTGTCAAGCAGATCCCATCCAACGGGCAGGATCATTCCTTGCAACGTTTTGGCTGAGATGAAGGGAGGTGGTGGGGCTGCCAAGCACTTGCCACCCTCCTTGGTGCTTTAAAGGGGATTTATCAGGAAGATGGGGACAGACTTTTTAATAGGCCTTGTAGAGAGAGGACAGCGGGTGATTGATTTAAACTAAAAAAGGGGAGATTAAAACTAGATAGGAGGAAGAAATTTTTTATGGTGAGAGTGGTGAGGCCCCCAGCACAGGCTGTCCAGAGAAGCTGTGGCTGCCACATCCCTGGAAGTGTTCCAGATCAGGTTGGATGGGGAGAAACCTGGCCTAGTGGAAGGTGTCCCTGTCCATGGCAGGGTGTTGGAACAGGATGATCTTTAAGGTCCCTTCCAACACAAACCAGTTTACGATTCGATAATTCTATGCTTTAGGTGTTGCCTCAGGATCCAAATAGAAGTAGAGTACAGTAGAGCACAAGGAATGAATTAATGGAGCAGCTCATCCTTCCTAATTTTGGAGAGACAGGCTTTTCTGCAGTGCCTTCCTTCCCATCCTGAAATGGGTGGACATACCATAATTCTCTCTGCTGGCTACATGGGAATCCAGCATTACCAGTACTTAACGCTGGGCTGGGGAGTGAAGCAAGTTTGGTTCAAGAAACTGGTCTCAAGACTTTCTAAATCATCTGCAAAACAAAGCCTTGGTGGGTGGTTGGAGGTGGCAGACTGGGTGCACATGGGAGTATGAGACCCATCCTAGCAGGACACAACCTTTGGCCAGAGACCCACACCCTGGTTTGGGCTCTGCATTTCAAGAAAGACACATAGAGTCCAAAGCAGAGCTATGGGAAGGACCAAAGGACCGGAAATTTCGAAAATCAAGGAAAGAATGAAAATATTCAAGTTCTTAAACCATGTAAGAGATGTCAGAGATGGGAGCTGATGCCATCTTCAGAGGAAAGGACTGTGCTCTTCACATCTGCAGTGGAGAGGACGAGAAGGTCCGAGCTTGAGCTGCACACTGGGAAAAGTCTTCCCTTAGGAAGGAGTTTTTGGCTCTGGAAGAAAGTAGGTGGACTGTAGAGTCTCCATGTTGGAAGAAAACACCAGAGAAGCATGGGAATGGCTGGTGTGAACCCTGCAGGTCTCCTCCAGCCCAGGTGTGAGGGAATACGAGCATGGTGAAACCCCAGGGATGGTTGGAGGTCTCAGAACTGTCAGTTTTCAGGATAGAAAGGAGCATTTTGATCACTGTCTAATCAACAGCCTGGCAGGGTAAATGTGGGAAAGGGGTCCATGGATGTACCACACCTCCGATCCAGGTATAGGGCAGGAATCAACTGCAGAGCCTCCAAACTATGCTGGTCCCTCTTTGATCCTGCCTGTTCCTTTGTTGTCCTCTCTCCCCATGGTAACTCCTGCTCAAAAACACTGGAAAGTCACTTTTCAAAGCTCCTGGTGGTTTTCAGACCCCTAAAAACATGGGGAAGCCCCTATTGCAGCTCTTCTGGAGGCTGGTTGTGCACCACTAGCCAGCTGGGTGAGACTTTTGGCTGGGTGTTGGCACTGGTTTCTCCTCTCGGCTCCTGCTTCATGGAGAAAACCCTCCCAGGACAGAAATAGAGAAAGCCATATAGGTATCACAAGCCCATACAAAGGCAGATGGACGAGGTCCAGATGTGACTTGCAGCCTCTTTACTCCACACATGCTGCACTGTTGGTAGAGTAGATGGACCATGGAGAGGTGGAATCCATATGTGACTCTTTCCCAATAACAACACTTCGCTCTGCCAAGCAAAAGAGCTGTGTTGGCCTCAGGGACAAGGGCCTTCCCTGTCCCCGGCTGGCAGGGCTCGGGAGCTCCATGCAGGCATGAAGTTTTTGGCCTCAGAAGGTACCAAGAAGGTTTGGGTGGCAACTTCTGCCAAGGAGCGAGGAGAGGAAACGGTGGGGCCCAGACAGTGTGGGCTCAGAGCTGTCCTCTAGCTACAAGGTGCCATTGTGAAGGAGAAGAGGGGGAGGACAGGGAGAGGGGCACCATGGAGGATGGAGAACGGCAGGGGGAGGATGGAAACATGATGGCAACCAGGGGTCCATCTCTGGGGTTATTTTCTCTGGCTACTATCCATGTGCACCCACCCTTTGTGGCCGGGAAGAGCCTGGTTGAGGTCTCCCTAGGGAGTGAGGTGACACATGACCATAAGCAAGAGACCAGAACATTTGCCTACACATGTCCAGAACACCCGGACTGAGGGCCGTTGTATCCATAGGAAAGGTACAACCAACCTCAAATGCTCAAGTTTTTTGGATAGAGAACATCCAACAGAAACTCAGGGTTGGGGCACCATGATGCTTTCCTGGACCCAAGAGAAACTCAACACAAATATCTACTGGACCAGGAGTCCCTGGGATCCTCTGGTCCATAACAGCGTTGCAAAGCTGAAGGTATGGGGAGGGAGTAAGAGACAGTGTATTTGCCATGCTTTGACCTCTGGAGGTCACACCAAGAGGAGCATCCAAATCCACCCATCCGAGAAGTAGGCTGGGGACAATTCATTCCCCCTTCAGAAGCTATGGGTGGACTAGGGTTAAAAAAAAGAACAAAAGCAAAAACATGGAGTGCCAGAACAATTTTTTGTTTGTTTTCCATGTGCATTTGGCATGAAAACAGGGAGGTTTAGGGGAACAGTCCCATGGCCCTTGTCTTGTTTGCCCACATGCTGTGCCTCCAGATAGTGTTACAGCTCATGGTGGGGCCAAAAGTGGTTTCCAGCCCCTGATCTGCATAGAACTGCAGGAAAAGAGGGTGAAATGAGGGAGCTAGAAGAGCCGCCCTGCTGTCAGCAGGTTTTGATTCACCCCACAGGGGCTGGAGCACTGTTAGAAAAGCCTGAAAAATTGACCAAAGCTTGGAAAGCTTCAGGTTTCCACATACTCCTTGTACTCCTGGCTGGTTTTGTTATGGTACTCACCTTTAATCAGCTTCCAGTTGTAGATTTCCACCTCCTCCGTCAGCTCCTTCTCAATGGCCATTGTCCTGAGGATCTCCTTGGAGTTCTCCGAGCGCGGTGGCACAAACATGTACACCAGGACATGGCTGGGGTTCTTGCCACACCGGGTGGTGACTATTTCATCCGTGGGTTTGACTCTAGTTTCTGGGCAAAAACAAGGACAGAGTTCATGAAATCAGGGCAGGAAGGAGCCTGGAGGAGCTGCCTCAGCACCCAGGCCATGGAAAAGGCATCTAGTTGGGTTTGGTGCCATTGGACACAGCTGCGTCTCTGAATAGGACCTTGATCTGATCCCCAGCACTGGCAGCGAAGGGAGATGATAGTAAAGGACCTGTGGACCTGCTCATCCTGATGTTTTCCATTCCCTCTGACTCAGGCAACAGGGCAGGGGATTTTCAGCACCTGGATCTCACCACAGGGACCTTGGTGCCACCATCACCACAAAAACCAGACTGGATTCCCCATTTCCCATCTCACTCCAACTGCTGTCCTGGAGGAGGAACATCAGGGAAGCAAAGGGATGAGCCAGCAGTGAAGGATCCAGAGCTGTGGCTGGGCTGCCTGGGCAGCATGCCCAGCTCAGCACCATCCCCAGCACTCTCCCCATGTGGGGTGCCACCCACACCGGGGCCCTACGTGACTTCTGCAACATCCTCGGTAAAGAAGAGCTGCTAACATTTCACTTTTTTTTTTTAATATATCTGGAGTAATTAAGAATCCCCCATGGTTTTGGAAGGAGATTTATTGCCTTTGGTTGTGAGCCTTGGAAGGCAGAGGAGCCCAGCCCTGCTGAATTTAGCCTTGTTCTCCCAGCCATTTTGGACGCTGAAACTTTTTACGCTACTCGAAAGAAAGTTTGGCTATAAATAGATGCATGGGGTATATTTTAGTAGGACAGTTATTTCAGGCCTGATTCTGCTCTCCCCCAGGCTTTCTGAGGTGGTCCTGAGCTCCTTTTCTCCAAGAGGGGATGGAAATCTCAGTTTAAAGGGATAAGCACCAGGAACACAAGCGTTCAGCTCTGCAGGTTCAGCATGAGGCTAAGGGGAAAAACCACAGCCCAGCACCCTCATCCTTTCCACCACAGGGTCAGGGTGCAGGAAAACCTCTGCCCCAGACTATTAAACTTCACCTGCTCCAGGGCATTCATAGAATCATGGAGCTGCTAAAGTTGCAGAAGACCTCTAAGGTCATGGAGTCCTTGATAAAAGCCCCACCTTCAAGTCAAGGAAGGAACCCCGTATTCAACAGGCATTTAACTGCTTTGGAGCTTCACTCTGGAGCCACTCAATGGCCCAACAGTGTTGGAAAGGAGAAGAAGGGACATGGGTCAAGGTCACTAGTTCTGCCCACAGCAGCTCCGATGACCTCCCCATCCAAACAATGCATGGTCACAATCCCGGGATCAGCATCCCTTTAGCAAGCAGAAATCACCCAGTGTTTCTCTCCAAACTACTGGATACAAAGGAGGAAGGGGAGAACAGTTGCAGAAGCTGCCTGGAGAAAGAAGATGGGCAAAACCTCCGTGCAGTGAAGGAAAGGGCCGAGCAATGTGTATGTGTGTGTGTGTGATCACTGTCTGGGAGAACTGGAAAGCAAGAACAAAATCATTTTGCCTGCATCAGGGTGTTTAACTGGAAATAAAAAGAATACTGAACAGCAGACAAGAGATCCAAGCAGGGAAAGTTGTCGACTTGAAAGCAGAAAGACCCAAAATAATGGGAATGCAAGAATGGAAGGGCTCTGCTCAGTCATCACATCCCATTCCCACTAGGCACCACATCATAAATCCTGCTCATAAACATATCAGAAACCTTATTAAAACAAGCTGAGCTTCTGCCCTTTGCTCCCCCATGGAGGCCATCCCAGAACCTCCCTGCCCAAAGGCTGGAAAACCTTGAAAATCACAGCTCAAATGATTTTGCAGCCTGTTTGCCCCAGTTCCAAAATGTGGCAGTGCCCCTTGGTTGTTCTCCCTGGTGAGATCCTTCCACAAAGCCCCCTTGAAGATACTCATCAGAAGAGATCACAGAGAACCTGCTAGACCTCCAGCCAGGCTCAAAGACACTCATAGTCTCCGGAGGGAAGCAGTGGGTGATCCATCAGCTGAACATCTCCTGATAAGTGAAAGTATAGACAGGTATAACCTGGAAAACATTCTCCAGTGGGAACAGGAGGAGATCTCAAGCCCTGCCACATCTTTGCCAGGTCGGTGGTTTAAGGAAAAGAGTTTTCCAAAGACCAAGGAGCAGCTGAGAGACCCAAAACACACTGAACATTAAAAAAGGAAAGAGGTCTTCTCCACCATGGAATCACAGAATCATTAAGATTGGAAAAGTCCTCAAAGATCATCCAGTCCAACCGTTCCCCCAGCATTGCCAAGGCCACCCATGTTTCCAAGCGCCACATCCACATGGCTGTTAAATCCTTCCATGGATGGGAGCTCCCACCACCAACCTGAGCAGCCTGTGCCAGGGTTGGACACCCTTTTGGGGAAGGAATTTTCCCAATATCCAACCTAAACCTCCCCTGGTACAACTTGAGGCCATTTCCTCTTGTCCTGTTCCTTGTTCCCTGGGAGCAAAGCCCGCCTGTCAAGCAGATGTAGAGCAAGAAGGTCCCCCCCTGAGCCTCCTTTTCTCCAGGCTGAGCCCCCCCCAGCTCCCTCAGCCGCTTCTCATCAGACCTGTGCTCCAGACCCTTTCCCATGTCCCAGCACCAGCCCAGTTCCCACTGGCCCACTCCAGCTGTGTGTCCAACCTCCATTTCCAGGTATGGGGAACTCTCATTCCAACAAATCGTGAGTACCACAGATAACCCCATTCCTGGGAAATGTTCTCCTTCTCCTCCTTTCACCAACATCTCACCTGCCACAATTTAACCCTATGACTTTTTGTCCCACGTGGAGCTCTGAAGAACAGACCACGTGCCCTCTCCCCAGAAAGCACCTTCTGTCTGTCTGAGCATGTCCCTCCTTCAGCATCTTCCTCCAGACTCCACCCTTCCAACAGATGGAACTTACTGGGGGTCACTGCAATTTCCTCACCTTGGGAAAGTCCTGCTGCCCTCCAAGACAAGCCAGCCCTTCCATTTGAACTCCTCCGATGTGGATTCAAGACACTAGCAATGTGAAACCTACACATCTATCCCAGGGCTTTGAACCAAGGTAGGGAAGGATCTGGAAGCCAGCTGCAGGAGCAGGTGGGATCCCACCTACCTGGACATATTTTACAGCATTTCCCATCTACTTTTTCCGGATAATCACATGGATATTCCTTGGGGCACGTGATCTTCTGGCAGTCCTGGACGCCGTCCCTGCAAGTGCAGAGGATGCAGGGCAGGAGGCCGTAGAGCCGAAAGACAGGGTGCCACACTTCCCCGTGGGAATAGGTCTTCCCGTTGTAAACACAAGCTGGAAGAGACAGAGAAAAGATCTGCTGGTGCAAATAAACCCTCCTTCTCTTTGCAAACCCAGGACTTGGTGGAGCTCAGCACATTTCACCACCTCACACGTGAGTGGTCCTGTTGCCTCGAGAACAGGATCCAGCAGTGGATTCGGCAGCAGTGGGAACTGGGATATTGCAGGCACCCTGCCCAGGAGGTGCCATGGGGCAGAGGGACCAGGCACCAGGAGATGGAGGCTGCTGGGCTTGACCACCCTAGTGTGGGCGGGGGTAAGTGTGGGCAGGACCTCACCTGCCTCCCAACCTCTGGAAGCCCAGGGTCCCTCGGAGGCTGTCGCAGAATGAAGCACAGTGAAGAGTGCCACCTGCTGACTCCACCACGGAAATTTTTGGAGGTCCCAAAATTTCCTCTAGGGCTTCATCTCCAAGGACTGGAAAGAGTTTTTCTGGAGGCACAATAGTGGAAGAGCCGCCAGGAGGAGAAAGGACCTGTTATTTCCCCTTTGGATCAAGGGGGTTGCCTCCTCATCTCACTTTCCTACTCTCTCCTCCAGAAGGAACACCTGGGACAGACCCAGCACGTGGCAGGTAGGTGGGAGGAGGAACATCCTGTCCCTCTGTGGCACTGTACTGGAAGGTTCATGTGGAGCCTTCCAGCTGAGCACCTTGCTTCCCAGGTCCCAGATCTCCAAAATGCTCCAAGGACCCATTTCCTTCCAACTTTTTTGGAAGTGGGAGATTCATGCAGTCAAGAGGCTCTGGGCTCCAGGACTGAGATAGCAGGGGGATACTGGCAGTGGAGAAGTGGGAAGTAAGACTTGCTGCTGGAAACCTGCTGCTGAAACGGATTCCTTGGGGAATTCAAAGTTCTGGAGAAGTCACTTCAAGCCACACATAGACTTCTCAGCCTCTCCATCCCTTACCTTTCTTGTGCTTCTCTTTCAAGACGATCTTCACAGTGGTGCCACCTGCCCCCTTGGGTTTGAAGCTTCTGGGAATGAACTCCAGGGAAGAACTGAGAACAGTGGACACAGTGGCTCCGGGTGTCTTCCTGCCCATCACCTCCCCCAAGCACTGGTCTTGCGAGTGCCTCTGTGAGCAGTCAGAGAAAAGGAGGGGGCTCAGATCCAGGCAGTTGAGTTGTTCTCACTCCAAAGCATGCTGGAGAAAGCCATGCAGTGTCCTGCTCGCCTTCCATCAGGAGTGGAAGGTCCACAGACCACAGGGATAAGCAATGACCCAGAAGCCATAGAATCACAGAATCATTTATGTTGGAAAATCTCTCCAAGATCATTGAGTCCAACCATTCCCTCAGCACTGCCAAGGCCACCACTGGCCCATATCCCCAAGTGCCACATCCACATGGCTGTTAAATCCCTCCAGGAATGAGGACTCCACCACTGCTGTGGGCAGCCTGTGCCAGGTCCGGACAACTCTTTCAGGGAAGAATTTTTCCCAATATACAATTTCCTCTGGCACACTTCGAGGCCATTTCCTCTCATCCTGTTCCTTGTTCCCTGGGAGCAGAGGCCACCTCCCACCTGGTTCCACCCTCCTGTCAGGGAGTTGTAGAGAGCTAGAAGTTCCCCCCTGAGCCTCCTTTTCTCCAGGCTGAGCCCCCCCCTCTCCCTCAGCTGCTCCTAGTGCTCCAGACCCTTCCCCATCTTGCTGCTGCCACTGCCCAAGGAGCACTGAGTAGTTGGAGTCAAGGCCCCACACTGGTGTCCTCCTTAAGCTATGAGTGGGTCACCTTCATTGGGACAGCAGCTTTCTCTCCCCATGCTCAACCCAAAGCCCTCAGAGAAGCAGGTGAGGTCCTACATCCCTGACACAGGCAGGGAAATGGGCTGGTTTTTCCTTGATACCCACTGGGAAACTGAGGCATCTGTGTGACCCAAACAGGATGAGAAAGGTAAGAATGGGCCATATCCTGCTCTCCCACCTGGTATGGGGCTGCCATCCAGCAGGACTGAAATCCCAGGAACATCCCAGGAACATCCCAGGCTTCCAAGAGCAAAGTTCTGGGACAAGACACGCAGCACAAAGGGTCCCCTTGTGCCTATTTTGGAGGTTTTATAGGTAGTGGAGCAGTAGGGAGAAGGGCAGAGCCAAGAGCTAAGTGACCTAATCCCACAGACCTGGTTCTGAAATGTCACCATGAAGGAACCTCAGCAAACAAGGAGGAGAACTGTCCAAGATTTTCAGTTCCCAAAGGCCTTTTGCTCTTCCAAAGACATAAGAGGTCATAGAATCATTTAGGTTGGAAAAGATCTTTAAGGTCATCGAGTCCAACCCTTAACATGGCTCTGCCAAGTCCACCACTAAACCACGTCCTCAAGATGCTTCAGATGAAGAGAACAGTCTTTCCCTGGTGGTCTGAGATCTCACCTGTGCTGATATCCCTCACCTAGACTCAATTCCAAGACATGATTCCCCTGCAAACCAGGTGTCCATGGTTCTGCTGTCCAAGGACTGGAGTGCCCTCCAAGAGCTGCTGGGGGTCATTTCTTTGTAGAAGACAATGGCCAAGGGCATTCTTTGAGCTGTTTAATTGCAGTGTGCCAGAAGCAATAATCTGAGTTTTAAAATGCAAATATCACGTACAACACCTCTGTTTAACTGCAGGGGTTCCTCCTCTGTGGACTTCTCATAGGAACCATCTGCAAGGGAAAAACATTGTCCTGTGAGATGCTGGGTGAAGATTTGCTCTCTCTTTGGCTGGAGGCAGCTCTCCTCTGGATGCTGGCCCACCTGGGAGATGTGGAAAGAGGGGAACTCTGGGACATGCAATTCATATTACGCAAAGCAAATGGAGCCATACCTCAAAAAACATTTTATCCCACTATCAACAACAGCTCAGCTCCAGGAAAGACATGACCTTGTAGCTTCTGAAGTTAGGTGGCATGAAAATAGCCCATTGGTAGTGTAAGACGTCATGAAGAATGATTAAAAATAAATCCAAAGACATTTCTCACTGAGTCAGTGACATGTCCCAGCTGCACCAAAGAAAACCAGGAGAGAGGAACACAAATGGCAAAAGGGGAGAGTTTGGAGGAGGTACCTGGAAGAAGTCATTCTCTGTCCATGGCCAGGAGGCCACCATGGCCTTCCAGCTTCATAAATATCTCTTGTATTAAAGAGTCATTTTATGCTGTGACTTCACTGTCAGCAGGGTGTGAACCTGCCCATCCTCTCTCGGATCTGTCTCATCTGGAGACATGGAGCTTAACTCTCTCCTCCCTCTCCCAGATGTGAGACAGGGGAACCAGCAGCAAATTCAAGGGTTTGTCCCTCACAGAGAGCTGTGAGAGTGAAGCTCAGCCACACTGTACTGGGGTGGAAAGAGGGTTTTTCCCTGACTGTCCTGGAAACTTCCCTGGAGCAACAGTAGAATGCACCACCTTTACATGGTCCGTTCTGCATCCTGGTGGGTGAGTGGCCTGGAGGACTTCCCTACACACAGGTCCCATCTCTTGCACAATGCACCAGTGGCAGGGCAAGGAGTTCAGCCCTTCCAGCTTTTGGGCTGCAGGAAGGCAGATCACAACTCAGTGAGGGAGGGGAAATGTGCAAGGAAAACCTGAGCACCCATGTTTTGTTCCCTGGTACAACCAAGAAATAGGAAGTGGCCTGATTTATGGTACAGGCTTCCAAAATCCTGCTAAAGCGGCTTGGAATGGCTCCTGCTGTCAGGTGGCAACCAACTGGAGTATCCCACCCTCACCCCCAGCCTCATTACCTTTGCAGACCTGGCAGCAGGAGTCCGCCACGGTTAATGGAGAGGAACACAACAGCGTCGGGCAGGTCACCAAGCCGCAGTAAATCTGGCCTTCCTAGGATGGTGGGAAGAAAAAGAAATAATTGTCAGCATTATAAAAGGTTGTATGTCCCCTGTGTTGGGATACCAGCACTTCAAATTGCAGATCCATCATAAATCATTAGGGAGAAATTCCTCCCTGTGAGGGTGGTGGGGCCCTGGCACAGGTTGCCCAGAGAAGTTGTGGCTGCCCCATCCCTGGAGGCCAGGTTGGATGGGGTTTGGAGCAACCTGGTCTAGTGGAAGGTGTCCCTGCCATGGTAGTGGGATGGGATTAGAGGAGCTTCAAATCCCTTCCAAACCAAACCATCCTGTGATTCTGTGATTCCATGATCAAAAGCCCCCTGATAGTACATCTTCAAACCTCACCAATGATTAGTGCTACCAGACCTGAAAAAGCCACGATACACCTTCAAACTCTGCATAACAACCCCCTGATTTGAAGGGCTACAAGAAGATTTTCTCTGACATCTCCCAGGAAAAGGACCTGAAGGAGACAGGTGGAAATGGGAAGCCTGATGCCAAACCCAGATGCAGGTCCATGCCAAAGCTTTGCCCTCCCTCTGTCTGGGGTTATTTAATAACACCAGAGCCAAGCACACAGACTCAGCTGTGGATGGACATTCAGGTGTAGACCTTCTTCCACTGGCTAGGTGATTGGTTTGGAAACTTCATTCCTGCAGTGATTCAAACTGAAAACCACAGGTCAAGGCCAGTCTTGACCTTAGTACATCTCAGTCCCACTTCAGGCAGTCAATTTGCACTGCAAGACTAAGTTTTCACTGTTTTGCAGAAGGGTAAAAAAAGGATGTTCAGCAGCCAGAGCTCAACAGCAAGGTCCTCTTCTTCATACAGCAATTTTCTCTGGGGTGTCCACAAGCTCCCACTCAACCAAAACCAAGAGGGGTCAGCCAAGGATATCCTTAGAAAACCAAACCAGAGCAGCTTCTTCTCTCACCAGAAAGCCAAACTGCTGCACAAGGAACATGAGGAAAGTTTGATAAATGACAGGATTTGATGGAGGTCACAGCAAACCAAACCCTACTCTCCTCTTCATGGAGTCCAGACCTGCCTCTTCCTTCTTTCTCCTTCTGACCAGCAGCTCAGAGCAATGACCTGCCTTGGGCAAATATCATAAAAATCAGGATTTATCCCAGAGGCTCCAGTCTCGGGGAGGTTTTTAAAGAGGGTTAGGCCAGCTGTTCCCGCAGCTGTTCCAGCAGCTGACAACACACACAGCCCAGAGACCCCTCCACAGCCAGCCTTTTATTTTCCTCTTTGTATCCAAGGCATTATCCTACTGAATAAACAGAGCCCGAGTGACAGCCGAGAGGGATGCAGAACTCCACAGGCTCCTGGGGATGAGGTGGGAAAACAGGATAAGGTGGGTACATAGAGCTGGATCCAAGAGCTCCTTCCTGGTGTTTCCCACCAACCATCTGGGGTCCCTAAGAAAGGAACCAGCCTCAAAAACTGTATAATTTCTACATCTGAGCTATTCCTCTCGCCACCAAGCTCTGAGGTGTGTGCAAGCCCCAGAGGCTCAGACCAGCTATTCCAGTATCACAGATACTTTACTACCAAGCATTAACTGGTGTAACCCCTGTGTGTGTGCTCCTGGTATGAGAGAGGGAGGTGGTTTGGGCTCTCCTGCCTCTTTATTCTTTCCTGGCCAAACTTGGTCCAATTATTTGCAACTCATGGAGCTGTGGAGGTTGGACCCATCCAAGGGCTCTGAACGATGGGTGGTGAAAGCCACACCTGCAACTCACTTTCTTTTTCATGGCAGAGGCAGCAGCCAGTGTGAGCAGTTCTTCACAGTGTCCAAGTCCAGTGTCAGCACTTCCAATCCCCCTTCCTCACTCTTTCTCAAGGAGGAGAAGCTGCTCCATTTATCTCCTGACACTCAGCTCCTGGCACTCCACACGCCTTCCCATCACTGCTGACCTCATGCCTCCTGAGAAGGTGTCAGAACTTGGCTTTTGATAGATTTTCACAGGATCCCAACCCCTGGGAGAGGGCTGGGTAAAACAGAGCCAAGCCCTGTCTCAGGGCATTGCTGAAGGCTCACGGAGAAGCAACATCCCAACAGAGTTAGCAATCGGGGGTGGATGATCACTGAGATGCACACTGAGGACACCCTGGCTACCGTCACAGCCCTCAGGTAGGACAATCAGGACCAATCAGGGAAGAAGGGAATACAATGGTCCTGCCAAAGGTCATTGGAAGTGAGCATGAAAAGGAGCTGCTTCCTGCAAAAGCTTTATGTAGACATCCTGAAAAGCACGTGCACAGCCCTCCTGCAGGGCATATCTCTGCTGGCCCAGAGGGCTGGTGAACACTGCAGGAGATTCTAGAGGAGCCCAGCTCCTGGTGCTCAAGCACATCTCAGCCCTGGGTTCAGCTTCCACCTAAACCCAAGCAAGGGGGATGAAGATCCAATTGCCATCCCACTGCCATCTCTGACTGCCCACCACTCCTGTGTCTCTGCTGTCATCCCTCGGGGGAGCTCCAGCCATGCAGGGCAGGAACAAGAGGCAGCTGGAGGCCCTTCAAAACTGAGGTACCTAGCAGTGGTTGGGAGCCAACAAATCCTTTCTGGAGCTCAGCAAAATCCCAGCAGCTCAACAGCACAGTCAATATTCCGTGGAGAGATTTGGTTTAGATAGTGGAAAGAAATTCTTCCCTGTGAAGGGGTCAGGCCCTGGCACAAGTTGCCCAGAGAAGCTGTGGCTGCCTGATTCCTGGAAGTGTTCACAACCAGCTTGGACAGGGCTTGGAGTAATGTGGTCTAGTGGAAGGTGTCCCTGCCCATGGCAGGGTGTTGGAATGGAGAAAGCTTTAAAGTCCCTTCCAATCTAAGCCTTTCTACAAAACTATGGATCCCAAGAACCTCTGAATCCCAAGCGCTGGCACCTCATGTCCACATTGCCTTGCAGGCACATTGAGCTCCCCTAGGTTCCCTGGGGGACCAGCATCCCAGCTGGATGCTGTCAGACACAGGCCCAAAGAACTGAGATGCTTGATGGGGACAGAGATGTCCCTCTGTCCACCCCAAAAAGCTCCAACAGGGCCCACCCAAAACCGAACCATGTGATCTCCGACAAATCTCTCTTCTGCACTGATAATCTGATCCTGATGATAAACCACCATGGGCTGGTACCACCAGGTCTTCACGATGTTTTTGACCTTGTGGGACAGTGGTTCAGGAGCAGAGCCCAAGCCCTCCCCACCTCCCGTGGGCTCTGAGGTGGCTTACAGAGCAGCTGCACTGCACACACTGGTTGGGCTGGCGGCTGGGGAACAGCTCGCTGGTGGTGAACATCTCTCCTTGCTGGTAGGTCGTCCCATTGTACTGGCAGGACTTGACAGGCGCCCGGAGGCCAGAAGGGGAATGTGGCTCTGGAAAAGAACATGAGAATGGAGCAGGATGAGAGCCAGCCCTGCCTGGACCTGATAGAGCGTGGATGCTCTGCAGATTCCCCATGAGCCCAACCTGAAGGGACAAGGAGCCCTTTACACGCCACAGTTCCCATGGAAAGCAGACAGGGTTGGTTGGGAATTATGATCCCAAAAGCTTTTGGGGAATGGGGCTGCCCTGGCTGCACTGAGCTCAGCACAGGGGTAAAATCTGGAAGTCTGACCTCTGAAAAAATTCTTGATTTTTTCCCTCCCCTGGTTATAATGATCTACAAATTCAGATGGAGTCACATAAAAAGGGCTTCACCCATGGGTAATTAGCTAAAAATTAAATTTAGGGTTTATTTTATTCCTAGTTTTTCTTCCTAATTTCTCAAATCACTGATGGTTTCTGACTGGCTTTGCCAGCACTCAGGTAGGAAAAGTTTTGGGGCTAAATCATGAGGTGATCTATAGGGGTGAGAATGAACAGATTGAGGTAAACTGAGTAGTGAAGAGTTAGGGAAAATTTGGGGGTCAAAGCTTGAGGTAAAGTGTAAGGGACAAGGAATATTTTGGAGGAAAAATCTGAGAGGACAAAATGAACACTTCAGGCATAAAATGTGAGTTAATCTGTAGGAGAGAGAAAGAAGATTTAGGTAAAAATTACATAATCAGTAGTGGACACGTAGTGAAAATTATGGGGGTGAAATCATAGTAATCTACAGGGAGAGAATGAACATATTGAGGTAAACTGAAGCCATCAGTAGTGGATGGGTAGGGAAAATTTTGGGGATAAATCTTGAGATTATCTCCAGTGTAGATAATGAGGTTGTTAAAAATCTTCCTTTTTTTTTTTTCCCCTGACATTTTGCTGGCAAATGATCACAATAAAGTACCAGTTTTTGGGTTGTCCCTGAAGTGTGAAATAACATTTTGTCCCTACAAAGCTCTCTGGATGAGGGTGAGAAAGTGGACTGGCAGAGAGCCCTTTTCCATCAAAAATTACGGTTTTGGAGGGAAAAAGCATCATGAGCAGCCTGAGCTGTCGTGACTCCGTGAGCAGGATCAGACCCAGCATCGCTGCCTTGCCACAGGTGTGAGCAGTTGAGGGACCACTCTGCAGGATCACGGCCACCTGCTCCCTGAGGGATGTCCACCTACCAAGACACCTTGGGCAGCACTGCTGGGGGTCCGTGACGGGGTTGGCACACTGCAGAGCTGGGCACTGGATCCGGTAGCACCTGATGTTGTTGTTCTGGGGAGAGACAGAGATTGTTCATTTAAGCCCACAGGGAACATGCGGTTCATGTTCACCCCTGCAAGAGGAGGGAGATGTTGGGTGGTAGCCACATTATCACAACAAATTGTGCACAAACCCAGCCAGCTCATGGTCCATCATCAGCAAAGACCACTTGTGGTCCAAGAGTAGCCCTGAGCCACTTCCACTCACAGCCCACCAACACTACTGAGACAGAATCAAGGAATCACAGACTGGTTTGGGCTGGGACGGACCTTAAAGATCATCCTATTCTGTACCCTGCCATGGCAGGGACACCTTCCACTAGACCACACTGCTCCAAGCCCTGTCCAACGTGGCCTTGAACACTTCCAGGGATGGAGCAGCCACAGCTTCTCTGGGCAATCTGTGTCAGGGCCTCGCCACCCTCACAGGGAAGAATTACCTCCTAAAATCTAATCTAAATCTCTCTTCTTCTGGTTTAAAACCATTCCCTTAGTCCTATCACTGTCTGCCCATGTAAAAAATCCCTCTCCATCTTTTTGCAAGCTCCCTTGAAGTACCAAAAGTCTCCCCACAGTCAATGGCAACTCCCTCACAAGGTCAACCCAACACCACCAGGGGGATGGGACAGCTTTTTCAAAAGGGAAGAAATTAATCTGATGTCGTTACGGGGCTGGAAAAGGCTTCTCAGGTCAAATTAGACACTCAGGTCAAACTAGGTGCCAAAGCAAAGCCCCTACACAGGAGTGTCCCCATCACCTCCCGTGGCCCCTCGTAGGGGACGTGCCTCAGAGCAGCTGCAGCGGATGCAGTACATCAGACCCTGGGGCTCCAGGTAGGGGTGCCAGCTCTCCCCTGGGCTGTACTTCTTGCCGTTGAAGTCACAGAACGTATCCAGCCCTGAAAGTCAACCAGGAGAATCCACATGAGAAAAAGAGATAGTCCTCATGAGAGGTCCCCTCCCACTGCGATGAGAACAGCAAGGACAGCTCTGTGCCTTCATGCTGCTCCCTGTGAGTAGCTGATGGCCACATCCCACCCACCAAATCCCAGATGAAATACATTCCCCCAAAACTTTTTTTTTGGTAACGATTTGGTTTTATGCTGGGACACATGTGATCCAAATGGCAACTCCTCCAAGCAAGTTGGACTCTCTTTGCAAGCAAGGAACAAAATGGGTGGTTTGAGGCAAGAAAATTGAGATTTTACTCTAAGATAGGTCAGTAGAAATGCTCACTGGAAGATGGACAGGTTGATACCATAGGACGGAATTTCTCCCAGGGAGTGGTGACAGAGATAGGAGAGCCTGAATTTAGGGGACATTTTCACCGTTGCACAACAACAACAAAAAAAAAATAGAAGAAGAAAGAAAAAAAGAAAGACAATTTTGGGTGGAAACAGTCTGCAGGAAAACCTGTTGCTCCCTCTAAGAACTTCAGCTCATTCTCTTCAGGATCCCTGGACAAGCACTGTCACCACACCAGCAGCCAAATATCATCTCTAAGGAGCAGGACTGGGCTGGCTTGTCCCATCCCCTTAGCTTTACCTGGCTTGGTGCAGCACAGGTCTGACTGGAGTGACTGGCTTTTCATTTATGGGGCTGTCCATGCGAACAGCAAATCCACCTCATCCATTTTTTGCCCCCAAAAGCATAAACACATGTGTGTCTTTTTCTTGTATTATCCTTAGAAGGGCCAGTTTCCAGCTGTGCTCCTGAACAGGAAGCGTCTGTCCCAGAAATAATCCAGGCCTGGCTACACTGGCATGGATTTAACCTCACTACAGCACAGGGAGAGCAATTAAATGGCACCCAGCACAAGTGGTGAACGAGGTTACCCCCCTCTCCCTGTATTTCAGCAGTTCCCTATCAACCCCCTCCACCTCCAAGTCCTTGGTCACACGCCAACCCTCTGACAGGAGCAGGCCCACCTGCAGCAGGAGCCTGTGGGACAAAGCATGGTCAGAATCACCAGCAAAACGCCAGGACTTTGGCCAAAAAATCCAAATCAGTCATCATTAATGTTCACATCCACAAGCATCACCTGGTCCTGCAGGACCAAGCTCCAACCCACAGGAATCTAGGATCCTGTAACAGCCCTGATGGCTTCTCCCACTCTCCTGTGACGTGTCCCCAAGCCCTGACCAGGCAGAGGGTCACACCAGGACTTGAGTTGTTTCATGACTAAGCACACACCTGCCTGATGTGGTTTTAGTGATTTAAGTGCTCACAGCCCCACTGAAAACTGAAGGTGATTTAAAAGTTTATGTCATTGAGGGGATTTGAGGTAGTTTGAGCGATGACGTTGCTCAAAGGCAGTGTAGACATTTATGCTCCCTGAAGCTTTTATGGGTCTTTTAAAGCCTTACAGCACCCTGGGGATGTGGGAGAGGGCTGTTTTCCAAGGCATAGTGCCCAGCTCCATGAACTCGGATGTTTACCCTGCCAGGCTGCTGGGAGGGCTCCTTGATGAACAGCAGAGGGTCCCCAAAATGACCCCAATGCTGTTCACCACCTCAAAGATGCTAAGAGCCATCCTGTGCTCTGCTTTGTCACCTGGGGCCCAGCAGTGGTTTGGAGAGCCCAGCTGGTGTTGTCCCATCCTGCCAAAACTGGAGATGTCACCTGCTTAATGGGTTTCTCCCATCAACCAAAGGTCATCCAAACACGCTTGGGGTGGGTTGCAGTCCCTCCTCCAGCTCCTGACCATCCTCAAGATGAACTCAAGCAATGCTCTACCATAGCCAGACTCTCTGACCAGCAGGAAGGGCAGCCCTATGGGTCTGTGATGATCCCTATGGGTCTCTGCCAGCAGCCCTGAACTCCTCGTTGGTGGCTTTAAGCATTTGATTCTCCAAGCTGTACCTTCACAGGAGCTGTCCAGACCTTGTGGTCCAAGCACAGTGGTGTGGGGCCAGCATTGCATCTGCAGAGATGGAGATTTGCAATAATTTGGAGTGCATGTCATCAGAGGGACAGGCAGAGGTATTTTCCTTCCTTTTCCCTACTCAGAACTTTACATCATCCACACATCTTGCTCCAAACCCCTTGACAAGCCGGCAAACCCCTACTCCTGGACACGCAGGACACGAGCTTACAGCATACTACACAAAGCTGGTGAGCATGCAGCTGGAAAACGCAGAAACCCAAGAGAGAGAGGAAAAAAAATCCACAAAAATAGTTTTGCAAAAGGGTGAGAAAATGACTTCATTTTTCCCTGCTTGCAGCATCTTCATGAATTACACTGAGAGTGAAGAAATCGAGTTGCCTCCACGTGCTGTGGCCCCGCTCTGCTTTGCGGGCTCTCCTGCCAGTTGGCTGCTCCGTGCAAACATTTAATCACCAGTGGAGCCCTGGTTTGGGTCCAGCCCTCGAAAGCAGCCTGATTCATGTCTGCAAAGGGGCTGCTGGTAAAATTAAAGCTGACTGGCAGCACTGGGCAGCAGAAGACACTTGTCAGCATTTGGCAGCTATTTGGCAAAAGCTGCCGGCAATTTTGGGTAAAAGTAAGCTGGGGATGGATGGATGGATGGATGGATGGATGGATGGAAGGATGGATGGAAGGAAGGAGGAGGCTTAAGACCTGGAGGCTCTGGATCATTTTTTCCCATGCCAGGCTAATAATTTCATTTTCAGAGTTCAAACTTTGGATATCCTCCCAATTCACTTGGAGTGAAAAGCCATTTGTGGCAGTGAATTGCTCCCATGCTGTTCAGTCACTTTATTTACTGAGTCTTCAGCAAGAGCATGCTCAGAAAAGTCTCATTTTCCAGAGAGGGCTCGATAGCTGTGGAGTGCTTTGCAGTACCAAAAATCCGGGTGAAGCCATGGAAAATCTTGTTTTCCTTCTCAAGAACCTGTCCAGCCTGGTCCATACCACCTTGGAGACACAACCAGAGCTTGCTGATTGCAAACTAGAAGCTCCATGCTTAGAAGTGGCCCTATGAGACCTGGGAGCAGGAGCAGAGGGTGGAAAGGGGCAAGTTCCCCACTGCAAAAACCTCCGAGAGCAGGTGTCATCTAACCAGTTTCTTCTCAAATACAAGAAGCCCCCAGTACAAGATCCTGGTCTTCAGATTTCCATTATGGGTTCTATGGACCAGAAAAAAACCCTGAAAGCCATGACAATGATTCCTCTGCTGCCCAGCAGCAAGACCTGTGGCCTCATGCCCAGAGGGAGGGTGGAAGGTGCTCTGGAGAGTGACTCTTCCACAGGGGAGCTCCGCCCTGCCCACCCCAAAGGGCTCTGCTAGGGACATCCTGAAGGAGGGGGGTTCTCCCTTCCTTCCCATCCAACAGCTGCTTTCTGCCATGGCTCCAGTGTTTTCTTGACTGGGGACCATCTGGTTACATCCAAATCATGGAATACCCCAGCCACTTGCCTGGTCCTGCTCATGTCCATACTCACCTGCTGGAGCCACCTCATCCCTGCTGTCTCCAGGCATTTGGCAAAGCTCAAGCTGGCACCAGCCAAGACCCATAGCAAGAGTCTGGACACCCTTGGGAAATGCTTGAGGCTATACCTAGGCCCTGGTTTGGTTTGGTTATTGTTAATTGAAATTAATTAGCATTAATTGTATCCTGGATGGTAAGGAGGAATGTAATATGAGATGGGAAGTACAATGGGAAGAGGTGAGATAGGGCTGTTAAGAAAAAAAAGGGTGATCTCTGGTCATGGCAGAGACAAGAAAAAGCAACCAGCTTGGGAAAGCCTGGAAGATTTAGGATATGTACTGTGGGAAGCTTTCCAGCCACTAGGAGATTGAAACCCCACAAAAGGCTGTCACAGAAGGTCTAAGACAGTCTGAATCCACTGGAGCACCTTCACAAGACGCTTTAGAGACACCAATCCAGGGCGACAGAGTGAATGGTGAGGAGAAACCCATCCTGTGCTGCATCCAGTAACTGCTGACATCTCTTACACCATGAGAACAGAATGTTTCTTCAAGATGCATCTCAACAGCTTCATTCACCAGCCACCCCACAGCTTCTTGACCTGCTCTAGACCCAGGGAGAACCCACAAAATGAGAGGAGATGAGCAAGATCTCACCACCTCCTTGTTGGACCATCAAATTGGCCAGTGTTGATCACAACACTCCCAGATATAGAATCACAGAGTGGTTTGGGTTGGAAGGAACCTTAAAGATCATCTAGTTCCAAACCCCTGCCATGGACAGGGACACCTTCCACTAGAATTTGACCACATCTCCTAACCTTGGCTGCAGACAAGCTGGGTCTCTGTCAGTCAGTCCTGACTAACAGCGGAACTCCTCTATGCTCCAGGACACTGGGAGTCTCCAGAGGTGAGTCCCTGCTGCAGGCTAGAGAGCGGCTGATGCACCTGAAAGACTTCAAAGCATGGAAAATGCTCATCCCAATTTGCTCATCCAGTACAGGAAGCCTCCACCAGTCCCGTGCCTCAGTTGCCCAAGCAGGGACCTTCACTCCAGGTGCCAAGGTGGTTCCAACAAGGATGTTATTGAAACACTTCCCAGGCCTTCTCCTTTTTCATCCCATGGCTGGGGCGGGGGGGGGGGGGCATTCGCTACATCCCCAGATGGCACGCCTGGAAGCTCTATCTGATCAAGGAATTCTTGAGCCGGCCTCAACAGCCCCAGCAGCCTCTTTTGGAGGGTCGCACACCTGCGCGAGGCCAGCGCGTGCCAGCCGTTGTGGGGGGGGGGGGGGATGAGAGTTTATGCAAACCAGTTTGCAAGTTTTAAGAGCGGCCATAAATAAAGTGTAAAAGGCACTGTCTGGTACACAGAGTCCAGGCGCTCCTCTGACAGCCCTGTATTTATGAAGGGCTTAAAATGCAACTTAGCTGAGAGGGGACTGGTTAAAACACACTAGGCCCTTGACATGTGGCATCCCAGAGACTCCGCTCACATCTCCAGATCGCTTCCCACACACTCGCCTCACTCAGTTCTGGGTTGAGAATTCCTACTCAGGACTTTGGAAGCCTGGAAAACTCTGTAGGTCCAAAAATGCAGCCTCATGAAGCATCTTTGAGCTACCCAGGGTAGAGAATCCAAGCAAAGTCCCAAACCTAGAGGATCCCCATGGGCTCTGGAGCTGTGGACGGGGCCCAAATTCCCCCACTCCTTCCCAAGGGAATGTTCAGTTGTCTAGAGCAGGTTGTGCAGCCCTCACATCCCCCTTTCCATGGCAGTGGTAGCATTTGCTTTTCATCCTGGTCCTTCCCACTTTGGACCACCCAGTCCCTCAGCACACTGGATCCAAACTCGTAGGACAGAGGGATCCCATGAACCCCCTTTTCTCCGCAACCACGTTAAAAAGAAATGAAACAGCAACTTCCAAGCTCCTGGGAAAAACCACTGCCCCGCGCTCTCCAGAGATGCTGGTGTTTAAATGCCTCCAGCCAAAACATGGTTGCGTTCAACTATTGCCCCTGAATTACTCAGAAAGCAGCACATTCGGCCCAGTAACCTGTGCCTCTGATAGTTTTTTTTCATCTGGGAGCGCAAATCCCCTAAAATAGCCTCTTTCTGTGGGCAAATTCTTCTTTTCTGAGTTGCCTTCAAGCCTGAGCATTTCTGCTTCTCACCTATTTTTAGCCACGACACTGTAGGTCCCTTGGCTGATGAGCCTGCTGATAATTAATTTATTCCTGTCTTCATTCTCCCTGAGCACTCGGCCTTGAGAAAAATCTGAGGCTGCAGAGGTGGATGATGGAGCAAAGACCATAATTTGATTAGGGTCTTGTCAGCAAAACCACCCTGCCCTCAGCCATGGGGCACCTGGAGCCCTGGCACCATGAGATGTGCCTTGCAGCAAAGAAAAAGTGCTGCAGAGCTGGGGAATGGGTGATCCTGGATCCCCCTGCTCCAGTCCTGCTTCTACCCCAAAGTTCCCAGCTCTTTATTACCATTATAAGTTCTGCAAATGGACCTCAACACTTCCTCCCAAAGCAGACAAAACCTTTCTGCCCCCACTCATCATGATTTATGCACGATTTAGAGGCTCTGCTACCACCAGTAGGTACCTTCAAAGAGTGAAAACATCACGTAATACCTGTTTCATCTTCAGGAGATGCCTCCATCCTCCTCCTAATCTGGGTACCACAGCAGCCCTGGCAGGGGCAGGGAGTCAGACCCACATCCCTTTTGCAAGAAACAGATGCTGTGTTCTGAGTCTGGTGGCTTCGATGAGCCCAGGAAAGCAAAAGTGCCAAATTCATCCAGATTTTGCTCTCCAGGACTCTGCACAGCCCCATCCATGCCCCTGCCTTCCCTTCTTCCCCCCCTCTCTTCCCGCCGGGATGAGCAATCCAGTGCTCACAGCGCTCCAGGAGGACGCTTATTTGCCTAATGCACTGCTGGCAGCGGGCAGGTTGTAAATCACCCTGACACAGCCACCGACTGACTCCGCTGGGATTCCGGGAGATTAAAAGGGAGAGTAAATGTAGGGACACAACAAGTCCTGCTCCACTTTGCTCACAGCTTCAGTGCCTTTGCGATGTTGCAGGAGTGCTCAGCACCCACTGGTGGGGTCCTAGTGCTTTGCCCAAGCCAAACCCACCTCCTGGCCCCAGTTAAAGCTCCAGTACCCTCCAAGCTCCTAAATAGCTCCGGCCAAGTCCTTCCAGCTTTTTTGCACAGGTGCTGAACCTCCCTTCCCTTCCCCATTCCAAACTTTTGTCTGCCCCGCTCAGTCAGGTGGGAGCAGGAGTGAGAGAGAACAAAGGATGGATTTGGAGACGGAAAAGGGATGGACATGGAGATGGACAAGGGATGGACATGGAAAAAAACCCCCAGCTTTGTTTTTGGGGAGGTAATTTCCCCAAATTGCCCCTGTCTTCATCCACTCCCGGAGGGGAGGTGCACCCGTGCAGGGTGGGATCTGGGCAGGGGAAGGGCTGCAAGTCAACCCCCTGCCCTGCGACATTTCTAGCCCATGGAAGGGGGGTCCCAGCACTTCAGCACATCCCTGCCAACCCACGGAGCCCCCCAGCCCCCTCATCAGCACGCAGGGGTGTGTTCGGCGCTATACAACCCCTCAAAGCAGCTGGGAACAGCAGCAGGCAGAGGGGGACACAGCCATGTCCCCAGTGGTGCCGGATGGGAAACCTGGGACATCCCCACCATGGAGGTCCATCCAACACCTGCCATGGTCCGGAGCCTCCCCGTGTCCCCAGCCATGCCCGCAAAGCACCCCTACACGTTCTTGGAGACTGAAGAAACAGGGAAACTGAGGCACGGCGGGATGCGGAGCAGTCAGGAGGGGAGAGGGGGACACTTACGAGCCCGGGCTCGACTCTCGGAGGCGAAGAGGAGCAACAGGCACCGAAGGAGGAAGACGAAGGGACCCGCCCCGGGAAGCATCGCAGCCCGGCGATCGGCGTCGGTCCCGGTGCCGGGGTGCGCTGCCCAATATCCCGATGCTGCTCCCGGTGCGGTGCCCGGTGACGTCTCGGTGTCTGTGCCGGGGGCTTTGCTCCCACGGTCGGTGCCCGACGGTGCCGAGGTCTCGATGCCGGTGTGCGATGCTCGGAGGTACCGGGGGTGCCGGTGCCGGGGCTGTCGGAGCCGGGAGTGCTGTGGTGCCGATGGCAGGAGTGTCGGTGCCCGGGGGTGCCGAGATATCGGTGTTCGGGACTATCGGTGCCCGGGGGTGCCGGTCCCAGTGGATAT